TGGGGCTTCAACTCATGACCTTGAGATCAAGAGTTGCATGCTCTACTGACTGAGCCAGCCAGACACCCCTGTTTTGTTTTGTTTTATCTTTTAAACTCAGAATTTATAGTCATTATCTGTTGGAGGGTTGGGTTTAAAAGGAGATCACTTGGCTATAATGGAATTGGGATTGACAGTGAAATTGGATTTTAACAAAGATTGAGCCATATGTTATATATAAGAGCATAATAAAACAATCATTCAAAGAAAAAATTGAAATAAAGGGATGAGCAGGCACATAGAAACAACAAGAGAGCTGGAGTGGCATTAATATCAGGTAAAGAGGAATTCAAGGCCAAAAGCTTTAACTAGGTAAAAAAGATATTATATAATGAAAAATGATAAAAATCTATGAAGAAAATATAGTAGTCATGTATCTTTATGGATCATGCTAAACAGCAGTCAAGCACATAAATCAAAAACTCCTAGAAATACAATGAAAACTCATTAAAAATATCTTTCAATAAATATGTTGTACTTGTTACTTATCAGACACTATTTTAAGCATGCACACAACTATAATTAGAAACTTCATTTAATACATATATATAGGATATACATCCACACGAATACCAGTATGTTAGATAGATATTAATAAAATATATTCTTCCCTTGTGCTTCCTAAAATAATTTCCATAGCTATCATACACCGGGTCACAAAGAAAACCTTTGTAAATTTCAAAAGGGGATGATTTTACAGACTACGTTCTTTTTTTTTTTTATGGCTTTTGGAAAGCCCTTTTTATTTTATTTATTTATTTTTTAATTTTTTAAATATTTACTTTTGAGAGAGAGAGAGAGAGACAGAGCATGAGAGGGGTGGGGCAGAGAGAGAGGGAGACACAGAATCCAAAGCAGGCTCCAGGCTCTGAGCTGTCCATACAGAGCCCGACACTGGGCTCGAACTCATGAACTGTGAGATCATGACCTGAGCTGAAGTTGGACACTTAACCGACTGAGCCACCCAGGTGCCCCTTTACAGACTGCATTCTTATCCCAACTACAGAATCACAATCTGAAAGAAAAATATTGTAAAAAATTAAGAAATAAACGTGTAGTATACCATTTCAAATAACACCGTATCCAAAAAAAATTTAGCACTGATATTACAGATCATCAAGTAATAAGCAAGAGAGATTATTTCATACCCAAACCCCAGTATAGAGCCAGATCTCTGTACAGAGTGAAATTGTTAACTTTAAACACTCTACAAAACCAGGGTAAAAGCTTAGTAAAATAAATATTCAATTTAAAAATTAACAACAGGAGGGGTGCCTGGGTGGCTTGGTCAGCTATGCATCTGACTTTTGATTTTGGCTCAGCTCATGATCTCAGTTTGTGAGATGGAGCCCTGAGTCGGGCTCTGCACTGACAGCACAGAACCTGCTTGGGATTCTCTCTCCCTCTCTCTGCCCCTCCCTTTCGTGTGTGTGTGTGTGTGTGTGTGTGTGTGTGTGTGTGTGTGTACCTTCTCTCTCTCTCTAAAAAAATGTAACAACAGGAAAATAAAATTAAAAAGTAGGCAGTATGAACCAATAAAAAGAAAAACCAGGGGCACCTGGATGGCTCAGTTGGTGATGATCTCATAGTGGGTTCAAGCCCTGTGTTGGGCTCTGTGCTGACAGCTCAGAGCCTGGAGCCTGCTTCAGATTCTGTGTCTCCCCCTCTCTGCCCCTCGCCAGCTCATGCTCTGTCTTTCTCTCTCTCAAAAATAAATAAACATTAAAAAAAAAAAAAACAAAAAAGAACAACCAAAATAAATACAAAAGAAGGAGAAAGTATGTGTCTGTGTGCCTATGGACATGTGTATAGGTACATATATATAATTTATATGTGATTTGAAGAAATGTAATTTGAATGTACATATATGTAATTTGATTATATATAATTTTAACAGAGAAATGAAATAGATAAAACCCCTCACCAGTTGACACATTACTCAGAATACTTTCCATTATACGTAGATCAATTCCTGTTATAAATACTGAGGGGAAAAGTCTAAAAATGTTAGCAAATGTATAATGCAAAGCAGAATTTATTCTATTAACATAATTAATTACACAGAACTGATTAATGGAGAAAGCCTATATGATTCCATAAGTACAAAGAAGAGATTTGATACAATTCTTCAAATATTCCTAGTTAAAATTAAAATGGATTAAAATATAAATAGAAAGAAACTAATTAACCATGATAAAAACCAATTATCAAAAGGCAACTGTGCCACAATGAATCATGAAATGTTGAAATCAGTTCTTTTACAATTAGAAGCAAAACAGACATGCCTGTCATCACTGTATTATTATTAAACTTTGTTTTAGAAACTGTATTTATTATAGTAATGTAAAAGAAAGAAAATGTCTTGTATATGTAATATGTAAGAAATTTAAAAATTATCTTTATTAAATTTTTTTTGATGTTTATGTTTGAGAGAGAGAGAAAGAGAAAGAGAGAGGGACAGAGTGTGAGCAGGAGAGGGGCAGAGAGAGACGGAGACACAGAATCGGAAGCAGGCTCCAGGGTGAGCTATCAGCACAGAACCCGACGCGGGGCTCCAACTCATGGAACTGCGAGATCATGACCTGAGCCGAAGTCGGATGCTCAGCTGACTGAGCCACCCAGGCGCCCCCAAAATTATCTTTATTTTTATATGATGCAACCATACACCTGCAAATCTCAAGAAACTCCAATAAAATCTATTAAAATTAATATGAGTTTATTAAATTTCTGGATACAAGAAAAACACTAAAAAATTAGGAGTTTTTTCGGGGCACCTGGGTGGCTCAGTCGGTTGAGCGTCTGACTTCAGCCCAGGTCATGATCTCGCAATCATGCGGGGAGTTCGAGCCTTGCATTGGGCTCTGTGCTGACAGCTCAGAGCCTGGATCCTGCTTCAGATTCTGTGTCTCCCTCTCTGTCCCTCCCCTGCTCACGTTCTGTCTCTCTCTCTCTCTCTCTCTCAAAACATTAAAAACATTAAACATTAAAAAAAATTAGTAGGAGTTTTCATTTATATCAACAATAATGGATAGGAAGTTACAGTGTAAAAATCAAATCTTCACAGTGGTGATAAAACTCTGTGAATGATTTAGGAATAAATTTATGAAGAAGCATACAGGGCTTCATGTTATAAAGAACATAATTTTACTCTGAAGGACGCCCACAGCTACTAAAGTAATAGCCCTACAGTGTCTCTGGGTAGGATGACTTTACAAAAAGAACTGAAAAATTTCTAAACTAATAAATATGTAGTGCCCTTTTAAACAAAAGCTTATTTTTTAAAAATTTGACACTAGGAAAAATGACCTTAAAATTTATTGGAATAATAAATGTCTGAGAAGAGCCAAGAAAATTTTTACAAAGACTTTGTGTAGCACCTTTTAAGATTTCTGAATCTTAAAAGCTACACTGATAAAAGCAGTATATTGGCATGGGAGCTGATAAATACATTCATGGATATGCCTATATATTCATGTATAGAATTGTGTATTAACAGATCCAAATATATACATAAAACTTAACAAATGACAAAAACATCTTAGTTAAATGGGAAAACGATGGTATATAAGTAATGCAGACATATTTTGCTGTTTTTCTGGATGAAAACAGAGCCCTAATTTACATTATATACAAAATTAAATTCTAGATGGATTAGGCCTCCAAATATTAATAACTCATGTAAAATAATAGTGCTGCATTTCAGAGAATAAAAATTAGATAAATTTATTTTTTTATAAAAGGCTAAGAATTAAAAAACCCCAAACTTGTAAAACTTTATAGACTAAAAATAAAAATTGTAACCTGACAAAGAGCTAATATTTCTATTATCTAAAGAACCTCTAGAAATTGACAAGACAAACAACTCAAGTAAAAAGGAGCAAAACATATGAAGGCAGGTATCTGAACAGGAAAAGTAAGTGGCTAAAACTTGTGAAAAATATGCTTTTCTCTTCTAGTAATTAGGAAACTGTAAATGAAAACAAAAATGAAATTCCATTTTCTCCCTAACACTTTGGCAGAGATCAAAAACAGAGATCATCTTCATTGGCCTTCATGGCCTCTATCTTCATGATAAAGGAAAAGAGGACATTCATATATTTACTATGGAATATGAATTGCTACAATTTCTTATTTTGGAAATAAATCTAAAAAAAAAAACCCACTGTTCAGCTGAGTATAGTGTTGTTTGTAGAAGCACAAATATATGTAAACATTTTGAACAACCATCATCTGGGAAATATTTGGATAAATTATATATGTAATATGCAGCAGATGCTAAAAATACGAAGTTAGAACCATCTGAATTAATCTGGACAAGTGTCCATGATATATTAAAATAAACAATCAAGTTATACCCTGTGTTGCCATGTCTGTTTTAAAAAACACAAAAATAAAACAAAAATAGCAACCAACCAAAAAAAAAAATAGCCTCTAGATATGTATTAGGATAGATTTAGGTATGTATCACAGTTTAGTATTGATTATCATAGGAACATGTTACTGGAGGGTGTGTCTATGGTTTATTTTATTGAGATATAATTTACATGGAACGTCGTATTGGTTTCAGGTGTACAACGTAAGGATCTGATGTGTGTGTATGTTGTGAAATGATTACTTCAATAAGTTTAATTGACATCCACTACCTCACACAGTTATACAATTTTTTTATTGTGATGAGAAAAATAACTTTTAGAAGACAGGAAACTGTGGATAAGTTCAAAGAACATAAATTAGTACGTGTAGACCTAGCTCCACCCCGAACTTGCAATGTAACGCTTTCTGCCTTGACTTTCTTTCTCTAGAGTGTGAATGGTAATGACCATGCTCCTTATCAGGCCTACAGTGTTGTAACGATAAAATGAGGGCTGAAGACAAACATGATTTGAATAGTTAAAAGGTATTAAAATGCAAGCTATTATCCTCAAGAATATTCTCAAACAGTCTCAATTTATATGACACAGGTGACGAAATCATCCGAGGAGGCATCTTCCCTTCCCAACGGTGATGTCGTGGGAGAGGTGCAGAGCGCCACAGAGGTAAGAGTTGGGTCTTGAACCATCTTCCCTCAGACCAGCTTGCTCAGAATGTCTACATAGTTCTCATTTTTCTGTCATTCTCCTCTACATAGATAGAATATCTACTTATCTATGTATCTGTCAGTTATCATCATCCATCATCCATCCATCCATCCATCCATCCATCCATCCATCCATCCATCCATTTACTCATTTTCTGTCTCTATCTATCTATCTATCTATCTATCATCTATTTACCCTCTATCATCTTTTTTACTCTCTAAAATTATAAAGCCTGCCTCTACTCAAGCAACAGAAAACAACTCTACCTAAACATTGAATCCTTTGGAGTTCTCTTCATAAGCCTTAAATGGGTGGATTATAGCTCCTCGTTAGTGAATCTGTTACTCTACCAGGCATATGAATCAGGTCTATTGACTTAGAACAGCAGGTGCAGTAAGCAATATTGGGGGTTGCGGATCCTAAATTGTAGTAGCCAGGTGACCTGATAAATAGGAAGTCTGTGTTTGCTTTGTTTATATACTGTGTTTACTTATTATCCAAATAAGAAAACCAAAGCATGTGCGGCTTGGTTTTCCCTTGAAAGCTTATCTAAGGTTAGTGATACCATGGGTTTGCTTTATGACCAGGCAACAGAGAAGGCTGAAGAAAGTGGAGAAAATGAGGCACAAAAAGAGGACAATGAGGATTCGGGCAACCTCGCTGAGTCTCCAGAGAAGAATGTGAGTGTTTGTCTTTTTTTTTTTTTT